CGTATTCTGAAAGTGGGGGGAGGAGTTGAGAAGGTTACTTTTGTGTAAGTCTTCTAGTTAAATTTACATGGAGACCGGTCCTTCGGATGAGTGTGTATAAACCGCGGTCCTGTGTTGCAGTAAGCGCTGGCACGAAAAAGATCCCTCACTGCTCAAAGGCCCTGAGTGCCGGTTATAGAACAATATCTGCAGCTCTCCACCGGCAAGTGGTGGTGTCTCCATATAAGTTAAAAATTCTCGAGATGGACATTTAACAAAATACAAACAATCAATCTATTTGAATTAAAAAATTGAGAAAGAGTAATCACCTGAAGTCTCACAAGTATCTAGAACCTTTGTTTCTAAAAGATATGTCCGAAGTTATATAGAAACCTTTTTTTATACAAGATATATCCAACTTTTGTGTTTGACATCTGTAGCAGACAGTATATAGGGAACTTATACTGCCTCGCCAGTGAGCTAGCTTTTCTGGTGATGCGGTAGAGTCTCTATTTCAAGCAAGTTAAGCGACGGCGAGCCTGTTTAACCATTGGATGGGTGACCGCTCAAAAGCATGGAAGCCATGGAAAGTTATGAAATATAGGCCTATCTAAATGACATGCAAAAATTTAGGAGCTTTTCAAACAGACATTATAATGTATACTTTGTGATGTCAACATCATTCATTTAATGATTTGTTTGTATCTTTCATTAAAGTGTCTGTCATTAAGCACTTTAAACTGAAATTCTGTATCAGTGCAAACGTTGTTTAAGGATAATTATTTAAACAGCAAATTAAAAATTGCATTTTTATACAACGAAACTCCATCATTTTATTCTATCCTGATGGAATCTTAATATATTGATAAAATAGACTTCACTATCATTTCTCTTTTTTCACATTTGCATCTACAATGTCAGAGAGTACAGGTCCACTAAAAATGATAACGCTTAAATATCTTCCCATGCATATACGTTTAAAAAACATGTCAGAACGTTTTTCAAATCATTCGACAAAAGTGTTTATAATATGATAAATACACCTAGCTCTCTGATTTTCCAAGATCTAGCATTGTGGAAAAAAATCAGGTTCACCTGCATGTGATCTTCCTGGTAAAAATTACGAACATTTACTTCTTGCTACGTTAGACGAAAAGAAGATCGGGAAAAATCCAAACTGATTAAAATATTTTGGAAATGTGTGTGTGTGTTTTTTTTTTACTCGATTTATACACAGGTAAACAAATATTGTGCTTACAAACATGCACATAAAAACAATTCCGGGGGTTGCATGGGGGCCCCTCTCCACGTTTTTTTTTTCTGAATGTAAATTTTCACGGTTAACATTAGCATGCTGCAATGATGCCGGGGGGGGGGGGGGGCTGTTAGAATAACTTGACAAGCAATTACATAAATAATGTAGGTGTGCATGTCAAATAAGGTACTTTTCAGAACTTCCAAAATTTTTTAAAAAGATAAACATGTATGTGTGCTTTATTACATATATTCTTATAATTTTTTTTGGTAATTGTGGTGGGAGGGGGGATGTTGCAACAGTATTACATGTAACAAGTTATCGATCTTTTCAACACATAACAAAAAAGGAGAATGTCGGATATACGTCTTTTCAATTAATCTAGCTTTGTTATATGAACTAGTGTCACTTATCTTCCGAGAGGTTCTTAGTCTACAAAAAATGGAAAAATACCCCGGATTTAGATCAGGCAATGGTGTGGTTTAACAATTCTGTCATTCAGTTTTGATTGGTGATTGGTAATTCCTGTGTAGTTTTCTTAAGTCCAATCAATTTTTGCCAAGACTTTGGATTAAAAAAACACACATTTCAAACTACTCTTCCTTCCTTTTAAAAAATATTTTTACACTCAATATCATCATTGCATGTAATTATATTTTGTCGTTGTTGAATAAGAAAGAGTCGTAAATCTGAATTTTAAACAAGTCAGTTGCATGTTTTATTTAGTTTAACTGAAAACTTATATTGTACATGGAACAGAATAATTGTGGACGTGTTGACAATTTTTCTGTATTTAATCAGAACACTCTTAGGTCGTTTTAATGTGTAATGCACATGTAGTTTGACAACAATCAGAGTCAGATATGTTACGAAATAGACAAAAGTCATGAAAGAAATTATGCAGAAAGCACAACGGAAAAAAAATTCAGTGACGTAAAACGACGCATGTAGTTGGAACGCAGTCAGTGCGCGATATATTTTGATCGCAGTTTTTGTTGCAAAACAATGACGTCGCCTTTTCTATTGTGACGTAAAATTTTGTCAGATTACATAAGGGGGGTTTTTGCTTGGAACGGCCCATATGTAATTTAGCAAAGTAAAAGTTTTTAAAGCAAAAAATATATACATGTATTTACATAATAGCATACGACTGTCTGAGGTAAATGTATGTGGCCTACTAATAAATGAAATTTTAAGTCTCAGATAAATCATTTGTCTTTTCCAGGTATAATTAGCAATATGAAGACTATTAAGGGTTGAAAAAAATATTGGATTTTGAGAAAACATACCTTAAAATATACGCCTTGTTACCATTAAAATTAACACAATTTTTAATAAAATCGGGGAAAGGGGGATCTATTTAGAAAACAAAAGATATTCCTGACCCCTATGTTCCAAATATTTGGAAATTTTAAAATTTCAAGAGGCATAACTCTTCCAAAAATTGCTCGAGCGTAACCAAAACAGAAAATTTAACAAAACAGAATATGACCTACATGTATATAGAGACGTATTCCTACAAAAAATAGCGTTATTTTAGGATATGCAACCTCTGCAAAGAAAATGAATGAAAACTGTAATAATTTGATTTTTTTTAAGTGTGAAGGATATTTCTCAGTTATATAATGCTCAATCCTACCAAAAACAGAACTTGATCTGGATATTCTTATGATAAATCTCTTTTACCAAAATTCATTTCAGTATGTTTAATCCCTCCAAAGTAAATGATAGGAAACTTATAGTGGACCAACAAGCCGATCATCTCAGAGACCGACAGATAGCAGCAAAGCAAAATCATCTCCAATCCACAAAGGGGTATAATAATACAAACTAGCTAAGATTGACAGATTTTTTTATTACATAACACATACAATAAACTAACAACGTTTTAAGAAATATAGAAAGTTACATAGATGAATCTACTTAAATCATTTTGCGTTCAATTTTTATCTTTAAAAAAAAAATCCGGGCTGAAGAAAACTTCTATTGCATTTTCCCTAGTACATAGCATTTTATTTTGGCAAAAATTAATAGAAGCAATTTTGAAATGAAGTTATTATTATGTTTTTTTTTTTTGTTTTAAAAATGTTTCTTTTCTTCCTTTTTCCGAAAATATTCATTTATCATCAGCTGATCCGCAATTATACTGTCAAAATGTCATTCCACCAAATGTACATATTGTTACATGGTATCAATGCAATTTAGGAAATTCCACGATACCAGAGTAAAGAAAATGACCGTATGAAAATCCCTCTAAGATATCACACACTTTCGTTATTAATAATAGTACTTCGCGTTGAATACTAACTTCTAACTTACCAATAAACCCCTTGTATATCAAATAGTCATGAAAGTCACTTGCTAACCCAAGAATTTTAATAACAAGATTTTGCAAATTCACAGATATTTATCATGGCAACAAAAGTATTTTCTTAACAGCAAGTATTTACATTTATATATTTACAACGAAAACTGATGTACTAACGAACTTCTTATATATTTATGCGCCTAAATAAAAGTAAGTGTCTAATACCTAACAGATGTACGAAGTCCAGATCCCGTCCTACCCAATGCTAAGTCCGAAGAGAAGGGACCCACCTTGCACAAGAAATCTACAATGCCTTACGTAACCGGCTTATTAAAAATAGAAATAAGGAACTGGAAATTAACCATTAAATGGACGTATAAATAAGGAAAACAAAAAGACGAATGAACGAGTAAACTAAACAGAGACAGGGACCGGGATCCAACCCTCTAATCAAAAAGTAAGCTAGAACGAACTTTTGAGAAGGTTCTACACCAACTGAAGTAAACGTGAAATACAGGACTTTAAATACACCGCGGTCTAGAGGTGTGTCTCTCTTATTCAATCAAAATCTGCATGCTATATATAACCCATCCAAGGACGTTTTCCAAATCACTGTATAAGGCTAGAAAGTTTCTGAATTTTCAATAAACGAACCAATAAGAGTTATCCTTATTTACTTACTCTGTAAAATCCAATCCTATCACAATATGTATAAGACGTTATAATATGACTTAAATATCGTTCTTTTGAATTATCCTTTAAAGACCTTTGAATAAATATCATGAACATGTTTAAGACCATAAATAATAATATTGATGAATTTTACCCAATTACAATGTATGGTTTTCAAATATGGTTTGAAACTTCTTCATAATGCCAATGTCTGTCCCTCATTACCTTGTGCAAAAAACATCAGCTGAAATTTGACCATGTTTCAACAAAATGCTTAAATTTTTGGTGCTAGGAAAACTTATGTCATTGACGGCGCAGCAATGCACTGGGGAAAAAGCTTATGTGCAACAGTGTTATTTAGTACAAAATTACGCATTTATTAAATATTATTTGTAATGCGTTCATAAACAAAAAAAATATACGACATTCTAATTAAATGAAAAATGCCATATCTAATACTTGAAAAAAACATACATAATCATTTTTAAAAAAAACGTAAGCATGGACAAAAAGGCGTCAAACTGAACAAGAAAATCATTAAAAAAGTTCAAAATACCCTATAGAGATGATTTTTACAGAAAAAAATTCTCATTGATTTATTCACAGTATGTACTTATTAAAATAAACATACACGTATTCTAACGGACTATCGGATTATGTTGAAATACTTTCTACTGGCCTAGGCCTGACTGAACATTATTAAAGTTTTATTTAATGATTTTGGTTTCTGCATCATCTTCTTGCTCATTTCTATGTTCTATATGATCTATAGTTTGGGTTCCTGTATTATTTTTTATTTTCTTCGATGTTTTTGGATACTGTCTTTTTCTCATTCCTTTGTTCTTCAATGGTTTCGGTTCCTGTATTATTTTCACGTTCAATTCTACTTTCTTCGATGTTTTGGGATCCTGTATTTATTTCTTGCTCCTCATTTCTATTAACTTCAATTTTGATGTTATCTGCACCAATTCCTTGCTCATTTCTATTTTCTTCGATGCCTTGGGTCTCTGGATTATTCCCTTCCGTAACCTCATTTTCATTCATCAAAGGCGATGAACAGTCACAATTTATGTCGTTACAACATCCCAAAAAACACCCACAGTAAAGGTGACTTATAACCTTGCAAAATAATTTGCACCACGAAATAAAGCCATCTGGTTTAGTGAAATCAAAAATCAATTTAGGTGTCTTTTTATTATTTTCATCGAAATCTTCCTCACATACGACTTGACCATTGCTGTCAAGGCAATGTATGCTCGTTAACAGTCTTATAAGTTTGTCTAAATCGTAGTGCATTTTTTCAACCTTGTCGGCATTGCTCTCGAAAAATAAAACTTCGATTACTCCGGGTGTAAGTAGAATGAAAACATACGTCAGAAATGTATTTAAATCAAACGACTTTTCCCCCTCAAGGAAGTGAACGTCAATGAGAGTTAAGTACATAATGACGAGCAAAAAGGAAGTCATTAAAACTTTTGCTAAAAGGAAAAATATTTCCATTTTTACTGGACAACAACGCCTTACGATATAATCGTAATCTTCAATCAGAATATCATGTGTATTTTTTAATTGTATGATTTTTTGCAGTAATAAACGATAGAGTTGAAAAAATTCTAGAAAAAATTTGCTCATGTAAGTAAAAATTGCTGTAACAATGAGAAAGATGTGAAGCTGTGTTGAGTACAAATGTGGGATAGCTACTAGAATAAAATAGATAAAGAACTGCACTATGCAACTCACTCCCATGAATATTACGTTATAATACACTGATATCCATACAGTAAAGAAAGCAAGAAGAATACATAAAATGCATAAACAAGAAGATGACCAGCGACGGTCTACAATACATTTACAGTTAGTTGTTCTGCTCAGAAGTAATTTCGATGTTTTAAGATAAAAAAAGAATGCTTGATTTAAAATTGGAAAAACAGAAAATACAAATATAAAAAGTAGGTTAAGCAAAAAAATGATAGGAGAAAAAATTACCTTCACTATAAACTTTTTTGTAAATACATGTTTTGTGTTATTTGATTTTTTTCAGCTCTCAGAGGAATCAAATAAATTTGACTCCAGAACTTTAAAGAAAACAGTAAAAACAATCGATTAACCACTTGCTTTGAAATAGATTCCTGTAACTCTTTATGTTTCAAAAAACACAGGACTTTAATAAATTTGCAGGAAAAATAGTCAAATATTAGTAATCGATCCCTGAATAATGTTGAATGTACCATAATGCTATTGTTTAATGCGGAAAGGGCTAAAAAACTTACAATGGTAGAGAGAACAATAGAAACAACAGTCTGATCAGAAACACCATGTGTTATATAAATTTCCTGAAAAAGATGGGCATTTGGATGGAGGCAAACTTCGCAGTAATTTATCAAATTAAACTTTACTATAAAGGCTGTAACAGTGACAATAGATATCAGTATAGAAAGACGAGTTGCACTGAAGCAATTTAATAAATTCTTTTGAAATTCACATATTTTTTCAGATTTCAGTTCCCCTGTTTGAAACATGATACGAAGAAAAAAACGTCGAGGAGTGTATGGGTAGTCAGCTCTAGTGTATACTACAAGTTCTCTCCGTACCTTTCGTTCGTGCATAGACCTTGACAATAACATTGGATAGTAAGAAATGATAATCAAAATCATCGCAACAGTTATGTATATAATAGAGGATTTTTTAACTGTAAAAGGAGATGAAACGTCAGGTCCATTAAAGCAATGGAATTCATAACCAACAGATACGTGAGCCATGAAGAACAACAGTTCTTTCCATTCCTGATCTTCAAAATAACGATGGCAAAAATACCCATTTGAACTGTTATAGATTTTAAATAAGTATTCGTAAATTTTTATCCATAATGTTTCATTATGACAGTGTGATATATTTTGTATACTAACATTAAGATTCAAAGTACGGACATTTTGTTTCATCAAACCCAGTGTAAATAAATCAATGTCAACAGGGTATGATAAATAATGTCTATATTCATGTGTTATCCATATCCAATCAATGACTTTATTCCATGCCGTCATATTTAGAGTGAAGTTTGCAAATGAGGGAGAACTGATATTCACATAAACAAACTGCATTCCTTTCCCCAATAATGAGAGGTCATTGAAGTGTTGCTTATGGTTTTCAACATCTTCATCTGATATAGTGCATGTGTTTACTCCTAGATTTTCTGCTTTCCAAGAAAACATAATCAGTGGGAGGAGAGTCCGAAAGACCACGTGACTATTCATTTCTGGATTCGAAACCTATAACAAATTAATAATTATCAGGATATATAATATGCATACCATAGCAAGAAAAAAATATCATATTTCAGCATACTAAATGGTTTCTTAGGAATGGGCAATTATTTTAAAAAGAGAAAGTGGATAATTAAAAGAGCTTAGAGCCAAACTTCTGTTGAATGCAGTGTTGAAGGAGTCCGCAGACATCAGTGTTATTGGTATATTCATATATCACTGAAATTTTTCGACACCTTATTTTCACGAGATAGTCATGTCGTTAATTAGTTATGGGTGAGACAAATTTTAACGAACTGTAGTTATTACGGTGACCGTGTGTAATCTTAAGGAATACTAATACACGACAGAATGAAATTTTCTCGAGTACACTATTTTGCGTAATTATGCGAAAATAATGTTCTTCCGAATAAAAAGTGAATTACAGTAACTTCCCTTAACTACATTGCTGTCGAGGATTTTCTTTTTGTTCAATTGAAGGAAACTTGAAGAAGCGGCTTAAAATGATATTGTCATGAAATCGACGAAAAAGATTTATGATACCCAAGACAAGGAATATTTTCTTAGCATAAAACGTCCTTTTACCTTTATTTAAGGCTTTTTTATTGTTCCTCTTATATTCACTTAACATCTCAGCTGTTCAAATATTATTATTTGACCTTTTGGCTCTTCCACTCTCTATAAAATTGCATTTTTGACCTTTTAAAATAAAACATAAAGAGCATAAAATACCAACAAGACCCAACGTAACACTCAAACAATCCAAATATGCAGTCTCTGTGTCTGCTCAATAAGCGCTCTTTTTAAAATCAGAACCTGCTGTTTCACCAATGGGATTGCTCTGGTGCTGTTGTGGGACCCTTAGTTGACGAATAGATGAATGCTAATACTTGGACAATTTTATGCAGGAAAAGAGTTGACCATTGTTGAACACTCGGAAATTGACTTTGTGAAATCTTGCAGACTGGATTATAAATGATCAATTAGTTTTAGAAAATCGATTTGACTCTCTTTATGTTTGGTTTGAAATGAAATAAGTTTAGATCGAGTCTGGAATTCCGTAATGTTTTACAACAATTTAAAATTGAGTGAGGTACCCCTGCGAAATGATATTCATGATTTTAAGAACCTTGATGAGTTGTTCGTAATTGTTCATGAATGGTTCTTAAAGGATTCTTAACAGGTTCATAAAAGTTGTTCATGAATAAAATTCCTGAAAACATTCATAATTCATAGTTCATGAACAAATGATGAACAAATATGAATATTGTTAATTTTCAGTTTAACGAAAAAATCTTAATAGTTCAAGGTAATGAATGTTCATGAATTTTCATGAAGACTAAAAATGTAAAAATAATTGTCACAAACGATCTCCAGAAAACACTTATTACTCCAATAATACAACTTTTGCATGCAGATGCAAATGTTGAACAAACCCCAGATTTAATTAATGACATGCTTTTGTTTTGATTTTGAAAGTATTGGATCAGAGACAAGTATGAGAACATAAGAGTTTAAAATCACTATTTTCTACCCTCCAAATCGGTAACTTAGATTTTTCAGGATAATAAAACTCTGTTATGTACTGTCTAGAAAGGAGATTGTAATCAAATTATAATCGTAATTTTAAAAACACTGCATCAATATTGACAACTTTTTTTTCTCATATTGAATTAGTAAATAATGTTTCTACATAACTTAAAATGACCAGCTATATTAATATTGTGCTTTAATTATCTCATTTTTCACGACACAACTTTGTTCGACCGAATTTTCTCTATTTGTCAAACTTTTAACAAATTGTGAGAAAATGAACCAGACTTACAGTCTAGGAAAAATTTCATGATCTTCATAAAAATGTATCTTAGATTTATTTACAGCTAAACAATGATATCTCTTGTCCGTACTATTCTTGGGTCAAACGTTTTATATTTTGATGCAGTTATCAAGTCACATTTTTCTGTCCATCGTGTGTAAATGATACAGCACAGGCTGCATGGTTGTGAAGTATCTATGACATGACCCACATTCGTATTTTGTAGTATATTCTCCTATACACTATATACCTAAACATAGCTCAGAGTACTCTGTTGGAAGGCGAGTAGTTCCCGAGATTTATTTGTTTTCCTCATGATATGGAGGCGGCCATACTTAAAAATACGAAACTGTTGCTCTTAAGGTATAATGTAAAAAATCCAATTCAATAAATGTTTTGACATATATTTATTTAAAAAAAATAATTTCAGTGAAAAAGCATTCAGATAGTGTTTGTTATTTTTTTTAACAACAATCTTGGCAATTCGAAACTATTTCTTAATTAGCTCAGCATGACACGTTTTAAAAGGCGCAAACTTTGAAACGCGCGAGACGTTGGAAAGTGAATCAGTAGAGTGGGAGGATTATTAGCTTAGTTATTCTTTGTCAACCTTTGAAGAAAATAACAGAATATGAAGAAGGAATATCCAGAGGAACAATTTACTTAATAAATGCAGATATTAATGGTGATTTACAAAAAATGGAGGCAATCGCTGAATCTGAGATATATTTGTCAAGATGTTACTGTCTATTTGTAAGAGTTCAGTTATGTCTTTTTAATGAAAATTTTGTCAAACTGTGTTATAAGTAAGGATCCAACCAAGTTACGTTACATTTAATAATTAAACATTGGAAAATCCATTCTGTTCACCTGTATAACATCTTGAACATGGAGGACAAGAATGCTTTAAAAAATGACAAAGACTATGATGCAAAATTAAATGAAATAATTTTGGAAAAAATAAAAAAAAATAATAATGAAAAAATTAAGTCTTAAGTTTTCACATTTATGAGCATTTTCAGAAAATCTTTGTTCTTGTAGGGAAAAGAGAAGCAGTTCACAGATAGTGTTGATGAGTTGAGATCAGAAGATTAAAAAAAACTCCTAAAAAAATCCAGAATTTTGAAGAAAAACAAAAGAAAGGAATGAAAATATGAATCGTAATCGATCAAAGTATCCAAGTGATGAAATTCTGAAAATTCCACAGGGAAAGCCATTAAGATTTTTTTTATTTGACCACCTGGCTGCATTTCATTTCCGGAATTTTAGGTAATTATCAACTTTTCATTTCTGACATTTTTTAGTTTTCATTTCCGACATTTTTTTGTTTTCATTTCCGACATTTTTCAAATACCGGTACATAATATGTAGTACCTATAGATTTGATAACTTTACTTATGAAGAATTTAAAGGAATAAATCATTTAATTCTAATTTTGTAAATTAATCTATCGGTGACTTGCATTGGACATAAGTATGGTGCCGTCACTGACATTTGATTTAGTGCACATTAAATGTGGTGAAAATTATTTATACTCATTGACCTCTTTTACCTAGACTATGTATAGATGATTTTTTTATTATTATCAATATTTTGGTATAAATACTTTCAAAATTCCATTTATTTTTACTTAGAAAACATTGAATTGTTGCACAGGTAAATTCCGGAAATGAAAAAGAAATTATGTCGGAAATGAAAACAAAAAATGTCGGAAATGAAATTAAAAAATGTCGGAAATGCTATGCATATTTCCGAAAATGAAATGCAGCGGACCACCTCTTCTCAAAATCCTTTTAGCTGATGCCCTAATTGCTGAACACACTTTTCTGCCAGACAGCAAGACTTGGATTAAAAACCATTCCATTTTAAGCATACACTTTGAAATACGCTGAATAAGGAACCCACACCCCTATTGACCAAGTAAGGTTAAGGATTCTGCAAAGAGTCGCGTTTGAATTAAAATTTTTCATCATTTTACTAGGAATGAACTACATAATTTATTTATTATCGATATCACTTGTCAGAGTTGTTTACTTGAAAAAAGATTTTGTTATCATGATTGGAGAACAAAGATTCTGTGAAAACTTTCAATGCTATTAAAATATTTTCTTTAACGGTTTTTTATTTTACATAATTTATTACATTTTTGTTTACAAAAAGCAAGAATATTCATGAATAGTTCATGAACATTCCTAAATAACTTTTACAAATTATTCATGATTAGTTCATGAAAATGCATTGAACCTATTAATATCATTCATGAAGTTTTCTTGAAAGTTCAAGAATATAATTCATGAAGTTCAAGAATTATTCTTGATCATTTTGCAGGCAATTAAAAAATCCAAGTTTGTTCATGAACAACAAATAATTCTTGAATATTCTTGGACTTGGTTTTCATGAATAAAATCCATGAAATCATGAGTGTCCAATTTTAACTTCATGGGATCTTCATGAACAATTCATGAGCTGATTCAAGAATATAATTCATGAACTTTTCTTCAAAGTTCAAGAATTATTCTTGATCATTTCGCAGGGGCAAAGTTCATCAGTGTGTGCTATATTAGAGAGTAGATAATTTTTAATTTAAACAAATGATTTCATGAATGATTCAGCTTGTGCATGTAAGCATAGAATTTAAAGATTATTTTTTTGTTTATAATTTATTATTCCAAATCAAAAATACATTAAAAAGACCTTGAGAAACATTGCAACATTATTTTAACATTAGGTCAGGCACAGATGTTTTTTTTTCCGGACAGCAGGATATGTGAAACGATCGTTATGCATTTAATTATACTCCCGCTTGAAAAGCAGGAGGGTATATAGTATGGGTTTATCTGTCCGTCCGTCGGTTATCCTTTTGGGCATCGATCACTTATTTGCAACCCTTTTCATACCAATGAATGATATTTGATGACACTTTCACAGAATCTTCATTAAAAGTTGCCATTGTTTACCTCCTATGTTATTTTTTGACTGATTAATTATGTACTGTATAATGCCCTTCTCGAAACTTTTCACTCTTATGGAGAGGTCACCGTAAGTCGCTGAAGGGCTTCAAATTTTGACCTTTACTCGGCACTCAGGGCCATTGAGCAGTGAAGGGACCTTTATTATGCCAACGCCTGCCGCTGACATTGGGCCTCAGTTTTAAAGGTCTCATCCGAAGGACCCCCAACTTTCACTTCAAAGTGCCGAGTGCATGGCTAAGGAATAGTTGCTTCCAATTTTTTTATCGACTTAGGTCAGTCGCGGCAGAGATTCGAACTCACGACCTCCCGATCATCGAGCAAGCGCTCTACCAACTTTGATACCGTAAACAGATTTTATTTTTAGATTCGACACATTTTTGGGATTTCCCATAGCAATACTGCCATATTCATATGGGAGGCTGAGGGATCATTTTATGAGCTCTTTGCTGGCAGGGGCTCTGGTATTTTTTTTTTATCTGTTTTTCACAAAGAACCTTCCAAAAATCAAACTATTTCTTTTCGTAAACAATTCTATAACAAATAAAATGTTTGCCGCTACTACCCCAGTGTAAAATATAAATGTGTCATATACAAGGGTTGTTAGAAGAGTTCGCGGACACATTGAATTACAGAAAATCAATCGTGTTCAGTAAAGAATTACTTATGTTCTGTTAAGTGACTATCAATTGATGATAAGTATGCAAAAGATCAGATGAATTCAATAAACATTTAAAAATATTTTTTAATTTACATTATTTGGATTCACGGAGCACCTCTTGATATTTCTACGACGTCAGGCGACGTCAAGCAACTTGAAAGCAAACATGTTACTCTTTTTCGAAGTAAATTCCTTTTAGTTCCACGCACTTTTCATGCCTTTTAACCCATTTATGAAATATAGCTTTAAACCACGATTTGTCAAGTTTATGTAGAATGTCTTCTGTAGCAAATCATAGATCTTTTAGGTCTGAGAATTTCTGTACACTCAGTTGTGCCTTTAGATATTGAAAATAAGCAAAGTCCACAGGCGCAAGGTCTGGGCTGTATGGAGGGTGGTGCAAGAGCTCAAAATCCAGTAAATCAATTTCCAGCATGGTTGACTGTGCAGTGTGTGCGGGTGCATTGTCTTGGTGAAATATTACTGAGTTTAATTAGCAGGAACTTCTGGGCGTCTCTTTCGTAAGGCCTGAATCAAGTCACGCCGAACAACCTTCAAATGATATTGTGTAATGTATTTTGAAATCATTTCTTTGAAATCGATCACAACAAATTAAAAATTGCTAAGAAAAATTTAGGAAAAATCAAATTATTTGATTATGTTTCAGTATATAATCATCATTGACTTTTATTAAAAAAAACATTTCCTTTATTTTCAAAGCTAATTTATTATAAACAATTAATAAATACCATCGAATAATAACAAGCGTTGACGGTCTGCCCACTGGGTACAGCATGAGTTAAAATCACCCCCTGCATGTCCATGTTTTTTCCTGCGGATCTTGTCACCTTGGCTTTCTTTGGTGGCGGTGACCCTTTTCTCTTCCACATGCTTGACTGTTGTTTAAGTTCTGGATCAAAGTGGTATAACCAGGTCTCATCGGTAGTGATTATCTGTCCCAGAAATGCCTCACCTTCATTTTTCAAACGTCTTAAAAATTCGCTAGATGCCGAAACCCGCCTTTGTTTTTCATCCACAGAGAGCAATCTCAGCACCCATCGTGCAGAAAGTTTCTCAAAGTTCAATTTTTTTGTATTTATCTGGTGTATGGTTGGAAAACTTAAGTCGAATTTGTCTGCAATGTCATGCATAAAGACTCTCCTGTCATTGTTCAACTCCCTAAATACCGATTCTCTGACATTATCACTCACTTCTTGTGGTCTTCCGGTGCAATCATCGTCGAAAACATCAGTCCTTCCATCTTTAAGCCTCTGATGCTATTTGTAAACCATTGTCTTAGACACATGTGGGCCATCACCAGCATCTAAGAAGATTTTGGTCTCCTCTGGCGTTTTTCCGCCTGCATACAGAATTTTATGACGGCCCGGTGCTCCAAGACGTCCATTGACGTCAATTTTTTGACTTCATTTACGAGAGTTATTCATTCATATTTACGAATAAAATCGTTAGGATATCTTCAATTTAATTGAAATGTTCACAAAATGACGTTTGACTTTTATTGTGACGTCATATCTTGCATTTGTATGCGCTATATATGTACATTAATTCAAGTTAAAAAATGCGAACAAACTAAAAACTTTCAAAAAAATTACATGTTCCGTGAAGCGCATCTTTTCATTATGACTAGGCTGAATATATTTATTGGAGTATTGAAAGCAGTCAAATCTTATTGCAAAATATGTCAAGTTATTATATCTGCCAAGTTTAGTTGGTTTCCTGCAAAAAGCGCGCTCACAATAGAACTTGTCCGCGAACTTTTCTAACAACCCTCGTACATGTTGACTTAGCATCATGCAATACCAATTTATGCTATGCTTGTCAACTTTATATATTCTGTAACACTAGTAATTTATGGCCCTCCAGAACTTTCGTATGTACTATGAAAATAGAAGTGTATTCAACTAATGGCCAATGCAAAGAAGATAGAGGAGTACTCAACTAACGGTCAAATAAACACAAATGAGTTGATCGCTCTGTCATAAGCATGGCAAAAAATTAAATTATTCGTCAAACGACGGTTTTGAACCATCAACAACAATCATCTACGAACCGTCGACTAATTACAACGATTGAATGCTAATAGTTTTTTTTCGCATGGGGGCCTTTTCCAACAACACGCTAATAATGCAGACCGTTTCTTCTTTTTTAAAAGAAAAAGCGACCTTCTATTTGACAAAAAAGCTTTTGGAATATTTTGTGTTGAGGGAAACTGATTTCTTGCGATAAAGATTGGCAATAATTAGTTTTGTTTATCGGAGCAGAAAATGAAACTCATTCTTATGTCATGCAATATGAAAGCCAGGTATATTAAGTTTCAAAAAAATGCCTTCAAACAAAAATTTGACACCTTTTTATCTTTAACCACTTCGCTTGTCGGGCGCTCCTCGTGTTGTTAATATTTCTGAATTGCACAGTGGTGTTTTTTATCTTTTGCATTTTCTAACAAACAAAAAGATTTTAAGATCTCTTTTTAATTAATATTTTATAAATTTTATGGAGGCCCATTAATTGAATATTTGAAAAATTTAAAAAAAAAAAAAAAAAAAAAAGCAGATGACGATTATCAAAATAGTTCAACCTTTTGTCGAAACTACTGTTAAAAACAAGGGAAACTTTTGCCATCATGATCAAGAAAGTGTTTTATTTATTTATCTATTCGAAATACATTTCTTGTGTCATTATATACAAGAACAAGAATATATTTTAAGAATATAACATTTAAGACATGCAATAGTTCTTTACTCTGTTAAAGTAATTTGACCTTTTTAAAAACAAAAAATGGATTAAGAATAATTAGAACAAAGTAATGCCATTAATTGTAGAATGCTTTTGAAATACGAGAGCTTACAGAAATGTCTCATAAGCAATATCTTTGAGTTGTGTTTTAATTGCAATACAACAAGATGAGACAAATATGTAAGATACACACAGATAAGTTAAATTCAATTTAAATTCCTCTAATGATTTTTGCACGGAAATTCAAAACAATTATCACAGAAAAAAAGCCATAATATATCTGTTTCAATTAAAACGCAAGAAATAATACAGGTCCTATCTTATATTACTCATTACTGCGACATGGTGTTAAAGAGATATCTTATTTGATATTTCATGAGTTCAAACTAATTAAAATTTAAAAGGTCTGTCTATTTGATTTGTATGTTAATATAAATTAAGCACTTGTCTGTAAATAACACAATCTAAATCAATCGAGTTTAACAGACTCTTAATAGAGTCAATTTAACTAATAGATAGATGGGAATATTTAAGTTAAAAATAGGTGAAATTTTGAATTTGAACTTAGCATGAAGTCTTGTATTTTTATTTCTTTAACTTAAATACACCACATATAGCTTTTAAATGATCCTAAAATATGGTGTGTATCCCAATAGTTTCTTTGGAAATAATCGTCAAAAAATCGTTTTCTTCTGGTGAAAAATTAAGAAGACCGTTGGCTTTTCAGAAGTTTTTCCAAAAAAATTATTTTTTTCACCAACGTTGAAAATAGGCGAGTTAAAATGTTTATACAGATGTTGATTCTCCCTACTATCCATATCAAACATATGCCTAAGACTACAAATAAAACGAAAATGCATTGATGAAAGTATAAAATGTAGAAATGATTTTAAAAATAACGTTCTTCTTACCTACGTTTTATGTCCTTGACGTTTATCAAAGCTACAATTCAGCAAGATTTAAAAAAAAAATAAGTTAAACTACCTTCACTGGTATAGTTAACTTTATGTTCAAAAATGTTTCGTAGCACTAATTTTTCAACAATCGACAAGACAATAAAACAATTTAAATAGCCTCTGGAAAAATACATGCTATGTCTTGCTTTACAAATTTAAGCGGCACGGTGTAAAAAATAAAACATTTTCGCCTTTCCATTGAAATGATTTTACAATGCTATCTGTAATCCAATAATTTTCGTGTTTAGTGTTTTTGCGTAAGGATTATTTAAATAGGTCTGTACGCATTCTTAGCAGAGCAGAAAAGGCAAAATATGCGTTCTTTATGTCACCTTTCTTGTAACAAGAAAAAATAATAATATTAACCTTTTCTAAGGACAATCCAAAATAAAGTTATACACCCGCTAGTATAGTACTAATTTTTTTTTCTCGATATGTACGAGGGTCATTCAAAAAATTCGTAGACTTTTGTCCTAACTTTTTTATTTAACATCATATTATATCCAAATTTGGTACAAATATTCTAACAACAGATTCAAATAATTTGAGTAAAAAATGGAATGTATCCTCATATTTGTTTAAATTACCAGGGATTTAGAACAGCAAAAATGGGGTCACGGAGCACTGTCAAAATTGAGTAATTTTCAAATTTTCACTTTATAGTATTTACAGCTTTACCTCTCATAAATGGAGCTGAAACGAAATAAAATTTACATGTTTAAATAAAGTATTGCTTTATTAATTAAAATGAAATCAGGTTATGTAGTACCTCGTTCCATTTAAAAGATATCAGCTTTTAATACATATGGTCTTGATTAAAAAAGGCAAAAAAACATGACGTTGGAGGACGTCACGGAGCAGCAAGTAGCAATAAAATTAGACTTTACATTCGGAAAACTTTTTTACAAGCTTAAAAAATCCTTATAAATCAAGATATGTATGAAAAAAAAAATTGTGTATTTGTTATAAGTTGAAAAAACATTTTTTGAGTGGTAGCGAGCTTGAATCGGACGATGGATTGTCTGCAAAGAAACAGATTAAAGTTAAAAATATTGTCAAAGAGTTAGGAACGTCATTGAACGTAATGTGTGCTTCAATGTTGCAGGAATAATAAAGTTGCATGGTAAATCAAAAAATTTGAAAAACAATAACATTCTTATTCAAGATATATTTGTAGAATTGTTAGCAAACCAGTTGTGAGGTATTGTGGACATGTGTATTTGAATGGAGAAGACGCAACAAACCGTGTTTGAAATAACAAAAATATGTATACTTTTGACAAACTTTCTCAGGGTTGATTTTGACATTACAATATTGGTTAACCGTGCTCCGTGGTAACAAAATATGTTGCTTTTAATTTTGGCTAACGTGAGTTCTGTTTAATCAAATGGAATGAAACTTCATACTTCGCTATTTGTGTGATTGAAACAATGTTTATACAGCGTATTTGCAAATATAAATATGATTTCTTTCGTTTGAAGAACGAATCAGACAGAAATCAATTTCTACTTGGTGTGATAATTAATTACTCTTTCGGAATTTCAAGGTTTTCTTTTGAATACCTGGTGAATATCACGTGGTTCTTTAGAACCAGTCTCTTTAGCAAGGCTATATAAGAGGTGAATAGTAGTTTAATTACCAGTTTAGGACGACACGTAGAGCACGATAAAGTTTTAAATCTCAGAAGCAGAACGAAGTAGCGTAATGAGTGGTTCATCGACATATTTTAGCTTTTGAAGATGATATGTTATCACATAAAATAGAGTTGGAGAGAGATTTGACAGTGTGGAAAACGAGGTCATCAAAGAAAAGCCAACTTAGAGTTTGTTTTTATAAGAGAAGTATTCATTTGAGAATACAATTGATCAGTTTTTGAATAAGTATTAAATAAGTGATAACAAGGTTTGTAATAGTGAGAATTTGAAAACAAATACATGATTGTATTAAATTATGAGATTTGTTAATTCTCGTCAGTATATCATGTTTTAATTCTTGATTGTTTTATACACTGATAAATATTTCATCTTTGCTGTGATAATAGAAGTTATTTCCAGAGATAGATAATTTCTTTTATAGAAATATGGATTTGTTCATGGAAGAAAAATGTTGTTTATGAAAATCAAAACAAATATGTTACAATAGTTTAGTTTTATTTTTCAATTTATTGCAAGTATAGAAATCATAAGATATTATATTTGCACTTATATCCAACTAGATTGATTTGTTTATCATTTCAAAATGTCCTGGCAGCATTAGCATTATAAGATTGAACATTTCTTGAGTAAAAAAAATACCAAGGACTTAAGATTTTTTTGAAATTTATTTTCAATTTCAGTTTCTTGCCGTTTTGTCAAATGTGATACTAAAATAAAAAGTGTTAGATATGTTGAAGAGAAAACAGTATATTCTTATGTTTCAGGTAGTTACATGTTGGGGTTGGTATCACGGTGAGTATAATAAAGAAGGTGATTTTAAGATCTCCAGAGAAGTACGGTAGATTTTTTTTCTTTGCGTTTTACGCCAATTGAAAGTTATATTCAATGCGGTCTCCATCACAGTGGAAAAGAGAAACATTTCAACTTTGAATATAATAATTCGTTTTTTGATTTATTTGAGTAGATTATTCAAGATTTGGCAAGATTGATGTAAATAGAAAAAGAGGTGAAGAAATACTTCTATGTATTTAGTTAGATAAGAGATGAATGGTATTATTTTCCACAAATGACATTTATATTTTTCTTAATTTAAAAAAAAAAATAGTGCAATTCATAAATTTTGAACCTAATGGTGGAATTTTGATTCATTTATCATTAAATGATAATTGCATGTTTTACTAGCCACAATGGTGATGATTTTGATCTCAGAGTTAAAAGATACGTGTATCTATCAGTTTTCTAACATCAAATGTGTTCTTCCATTGCATTCCATTTATTGGTTATCGTCTTCTTACTTTTAATTCAAGCATCATGAAGTATTAATCTGTGTACCAATAATAACAGAGTTTCAAAGAGACACATATCCAAGGAATTGAGATGGGATTCAGGATATTTCACAGGAATGTGTATTTTGTGCTATTTTGATATTGGATAATGAATATACTTCTATGTATAACTGCGTCGAAATCGTTTCGCATATTTTACGTCTTCTTCCCTGGGACTTCACGATAAATCGTATGGTATGCGTTGAATTTGACTTACTCAAAACTCAATTGCAGGAAACATTTATTGATGCGTGCATAAAATGTGTGCATAATTAATAATTATAACCTCAAGGCTTTTACGATCGGACTTGCATGGTGAATTGCGTTATTTTCAAAAGACGGCGGTGTATTGAATTTGTTTAAGATGGATATACCTGTATATGCATTTCTTTGGTGATTTTTAAATTGTTTTCAAAACATTTTATTGGAAAATTTTTTGTAAAATTCTATGTATTTGATGTGTTTAAAATATGGATTGACTTTTATATGATTTAAATGAATTTTGTTGGATTGAATTTAAAATCTATGATTTTATACTTTCATTTTCCAGATCTTTGTATTTAGAGCTACTGTGTGTCGTTGCTATGTCCTAACGGTGTTTGTTGTTTATTGCACTTTCATTAAAAAGTAATGAATGGATTTAGAGTAGAAATATGATTTCATTCGTTTGAGGAACGAACTAGACAGAAATCAATTTCTAGTTGGTGTGATAATGAATTACTTTTTCGGAATTTCAAGGTTTTCATACGAATACCATGTGAATATCACGTGGTTCTTTAGAACCGGTCACTTTAGAAAGGCTATATAAGATGTGAATAGTAGTTTAAATACCAGTTTAGGACGACACGTAGAGTACGATAAAGTTTAAATTTTTTTATGATTCTGTATACTCTACAAATAAAGCTACTGTGTGTCGTTGCTATGTCCACACGGTGAGTTTGTTGTTTATTGTACTTTCATTAGAAAGTAATGAATAAATTTAGAGTAGAACCTTTCATTCAATCTATTCCTAAGCACAGACTTTCTTTCTACAAAATATCCTGAAATAAGTCAATGAAATGCAAATTTTAACAAATAAAACAAAGTATTTCCTTTTTTGTATGATTTTAGGTTAACGTTTTTTAAATCGGAGTATTTCTACTTATTAAATTGGTTTGCTCAATCTTCAATGGCACCTAATGGCACATATGATGTTTTAGAGGTCGGTGACTGCTTAGCCCCTGTTTTGTATTGTGTATAGACTTCTGATTTTGAATATTGTTCGTTACATGTACACGTATTCCAAAATATTTCATCTATCAGTTGGTAGAGAAATCGCTGGAAGTTAAAAATTTCAACTTTATACACAGCTATTCTCCACGACAAATTAAAATCCAGGCTTTTTGATATCATTGACAGCTGCTTCTTCAGCAAAAATAAAACTCGTAAATTAACTTATCTCGTCATTGGTCATTTGAAAAATTATTTTGTTAAAACAGATTCTGATTGCACTCATAAGTACTCAGAAGTTGACATCAGAAAGATGCTTGAGTTTCTGATTGACAAAATCTATGTGGTTTTTGGAGACCAGGTATTCCAACAATCTATTGGAATTCCCATGGGTACAAATTGTCCTCCGTTATAAGCAGACTTTTTTTATATTCATATGAAATAAAATTTATGCAAAATCTTTTGCGTGAAAAGAAGAAAACACTTGCTGTAGCTTTCAACTCGACATTTAGGTATATCGACGACGTATTGTCAATTCATAATGATAATTTCCATTCCTACGTCGACACGATATGTCCTGGTGAGCTTGAGATAAAAGATACCACAGAGTCCGACACTTCTGCTTCATACTTGGATATTTTACTTGAAAAAGTCACAAATGGTAATCTAACATCCAAGCTATATGATAAACGTGATAACTTTATCTTTTCTATCGTACTTCCCTTACTTATGCATCAATATACCTTCATCACCTGCATACGGAGTATATATATCTCAGTTGATTCCATACGCAAAAGCATGCTCTACGTATGAACAATTTCT